GGTACCCTCAATACTCTTCTCCAGCACCACAGCTCAAAGGCATCAATTCTCCTTCTATCTTTTTTCTAATCATTGTCCAGCTCTCTGATGCATAACAAGTGATTACGAAGACCATGGTCTGTATCAGACGCACCTTAGTCTCCAGAGAGACACCACTGCTCTTCAGTATGAGAGAAAATTTATCTATAAAGTATACTAGTTACACCATATACAACAATGGACTATGTACATTAGACTAAGAGAGGCATTATGCATGCAATCTACTCTTTGGAGGTGTGGAGATAAGTGGTTGTATATTAAAGAGAATAGGAGATTATGATAAAATATGAGAAAATGCTTTAAATAAGTTATCTACTAAGTGACTAATCAAAAAAAGCCACAAATCATTAAGAAACTGAATGATAGGGGAGCTCTGGTGGCCTAGTGGCAAGGAGCTGCAACTACAATCCCAGAGGCACACGGTTCGAATCCACCAGATGCTCTGCCGGGAAAAGGAGGGACAATCTCCTCCTTTACCAGTCAGATCTGATTTGACGGTACACTCACACAAAAAAAAAAAAAAAAAAAAAAAAGAAAAGAAACTGAATGATACAAATACTCTAAACTTAGTTTTGTGATAATTTATATTTAAGATCTAAAGGATGCACTATAGTAAGACCAAGAAAAATATGGGCTAATTACTGTAATACCCTTTCCCTTGGTTTCCTGTGGTTTTCCTACATCATTTGAAAATTAACAAGCATTTCCTAGGAAATAAACATCGAGTATATTTATTATTAATGGTACCTTTCCTACCGCCACTGTAAATTCTATCCTACCTTATTTTTGGTATAAGATATAACATGTATGTCTTGTGTTTTAAGGTTTTAACTAACATTTCATTTTATCAGTTTCAGTCATTCGTTAACTACCATCAAGGTGGAACCAACCCAGAGCTGACCGTGGCAAATGGTTTTCAGAGGCTGTAAATCACATGGGAGGAGACTGCTTCTCTTTCTCCAGTAAAGGAGATGGTAGATATGAACCAACTGACTTTAGGGTGGCAACTCAACTCCTAAACCACCAGACCACCATAGATTCCTGGATAATAAAAGTATCTATTTTAATGTAAGCAACATTTTTTTATCCACCAAAACAGCAAAAATACTTTGTATATTTTACAACTGATTTTAAAGACATGTATTACTTAAATTAAAAATTCTCTAAACACATCATTTAAACTTACCTTCTCCTTATATTCCACATAAGGCTGGATTAAGATCTTTTGCAATTCTTAGCACTGGATACATTTTGATTTCCCCATTCCTTAAATATTCAAAGTGAACTCAACTTACATGTTCACTGGATAAATTTATTGCACTACAATATGCTGGTTTTTAAGGTCTCCAATAGTGTCTAAACTACATGCTTCACTTCTTCATGTAGTTGTGCAGCACTTGCCCTAGATTACTAAATATAGTTTAGGTGCAATTTTCTTTTTCCTATCTTTTGACCTTTGTGATCTTTTAATGATTTTGACATTTTTATTGGTCTGAAGCATACCTAGTAAACATTTCTCTACCATGCATATTCAACCCAAAATTCTAGATTATAGCTCTATTTTAAGCTTAGTGATTTAACTGATAGTTTCTACAATAACTGAAGAGTCCAGGAAATAAAAATATAAAAAAAACAACCTGCTATTTTCAAAATATAAATGTGGACACAATTACTCTGCAGACCACTTTACTCTGTCACCCAGGAAAGAAAAATAATAAACATACATTAGGGCCAATTATTAACACCAGTAACAACTATTTGCCCGGGGGGGGGGGGTGTTTCAACCTCCTAACTTTTACAAAGTAGTTCTCAACTGTGACTGCACATTAGAATTGTCCAGCTGCTCAGGTCAAGTATCAGACCAATAAAATCAGAATCTCTGAAGAATGAAACTCAAGCATTAATATCTTTTGAAGATTTCAAAGTAATTAGAATGTACAACTAAGACAGAAACTTTTTAAAGTATCACCAAGGATATTAATTTATGTTGCTTTCAAAAGAAACACCATGAGAAGCTATAAACTTATCTTTTAAAAAAATGTTTCTAAGAGGTTATCTCCTTTAAAATTACTTTTAGATTATATCTTAAGCCTTTATAGAGGTAAATGGCACAAGTTTAAAAGTGCGAAACCTTGGATACAAATGCCAGCTCTACCACTGAATAGTTCCATGATTATAGATAAGAAGCTTAACCATGAGCTTCTACTTTTTCATCTATAAAAAAGGGGACTGATTAAAGAAGAAAATTAAATGTGCACAGCATGGCAGCAGCCACATATTAATTATTGTATAAATGGACATATCTTCCCACTATCAAGGTAGGTTAGAAGATATGGAGGTATGGAAGATACATTGTTTAAGGTTATACTTCCATGACCTATACCAAAGTAGGGAGCTCTCGTGGCTTAGTGGTAAGGAGTTGCACTTCCAACTTAAAAGCATGCTGATCAAATCCAACAGCAACTCCATGGGATGAAGACGTACAATTTCCTCCCTCTAAAACTGTACTGGAGGGTCAGCTATGAGCTGGCTCTAACTTGATGGTACAGAATCACCACCCTCATACCACAGTAGGCACACAATAACTATTCGTATTAATTGTTACACTCTTTAAGAATTTTGTGCCTTTGTAACTCTAAAACCAAGTACAGGTTCTGGTATAAAGCAAGAAAGCTTAATAATTTTCTAAACCAAGAAAATAAAATGTTATTTCAAATGAAAACAAACCCTCAAGCTTTGCTCTGTAGTGTAGAAGTCAGAAAAACCAGCATCCGTAGCCAATAATCCTATAAACTGCATTGCAGGCCGCTGCTGAATAAACACTTCTACAGCTTGATCAGTGATGTAGCTGGCCCCAGAAATATCCAACGATACAACATTAGGCAGGATATCTTTCTGCTGGAGCAAATGAAAAGCTAGGTCTGATTTGAGTTGCTTGTGATCAGAAATATCAAGGTGAAGCAGATACTTCAGTTCTCGAATGACTGCAAGAATTTGTGGGCTTGTCATAGTCAAGCACTTCAGATAGTGCATTGTGAGAGATTTGAGTCGATCTTTACAGGTAAGGAGCGCTGAAATGTTGGTGACTAGGGTATTAGAGATATCTAAACTCTCCAGTCTTGGTAACTGAGAAACATTAGCTAGGTCTTCACTATAAAAACAAACATTGAAAACACTTAAAACTCGAAGACCAGTAAGCTGACCAAAGAACAGTTTTCTTGTTTCTCCAGGTATGCTTGTTGAGTCCAACAGGAGACATCGAAGATTTTGCTGGATCCAGCTATTGCTACAGAGACCACGTAAGATGTCTGGGACTGAAAGATCCGAATTCACTGCGGTGGCATCTAATTCAATGAGCTTGTGATGGCAGAAGGCTTTTATGAATGCAGCTGTAGACAGTTTAGCTCTTTGGATATTGGCCAGCTTCAGCTTCAGTTGGTTGCCTTCGAAAATGCTCGCAGTCCTATCAGTGAGTTTGCCTATAAGAGAATTAGAACCGGCTTATAATGACAACTAGACCCCATGTCTTCCCAGAATTCAACATGGCAAGTGAACTAAGACAAATGTTATAATAATAATCTCTGTACTTACTGCTGTGTCCTTTACTCAGATTACTTAACCTTCACAATAATCTTGTAAAGGTACTATTACTCTTACTACATAGTCAAGAAAATCCACTGGCCTAAGTTACATGCATGTATGACAGATATACAGCCAAGCTCAGATGGTTTGACTCCAAAAGCCTGTACTTTTATGTGTAATAACTGTGTTGACAAAAAACAGTAACAAAATAAGGAAGATTAAAAGTGAAAAAGAGAGGGCTAGGATATACAATATGTAAATAACACTTAAAATGAACTAATGATTATGTTTAACCAAGTTAATAAATGGCCTTTGACAAGTCATTAACTTCTCAGAGTCTCCTTTTCCTTCTCTATAAAATGAAAATGCTATACAATAAAACATGCAAAACTAGACTGTGTAAGGTGGAAACTTGTCAGAAAGGAAACCTCAAATATTTTCCACTAAGAAGTGATAAGGTAGTTCTAATGGCTTAGTGGTAGACTTGCATTGCCAACCCATGGGCTGGAAGAAAATGACTGGAAGAGATCCATATTCTCATTTCCAAAAATGGCGATGCAACCAAGAGAATGTGGAAATTACTAAACGCTATCAAGAATGTCACATGTAAGTAAAATCTTGCTGAAGATTAGCCAAAAATACCTAGAACAGTATACCACAAGAAAACTGCCAGAAATAAAAGCAGGTTTAGAAGAGGTCATGGCACTATGAATTTCATTGCTGCTATCAGATGGATCCTGGCTAAAAGCAGAGTACCAGAGGATGTCTGTGTCATCAACTATGCAAAGACATTTGACTGTGTCAATCACAAACTGTGGTTAACATTGAAAACAGGAATCCCAGAGCACTGATTATGCTCATGTATCAAGACCAGGACACAAGGAAGAGCAAGGAAACACTGCATAGTTCAAATTCAAGAGAGGAGTGTATTAGATATATACCCTTTTCAATCTATAAGCTAAACAGATCATTCAGGAGCCTTAACTTTATGAAGAAGAATGTAACATCAGGACTGGAGGAAGACTCATGAACAATCTGGATTATATTGATGAAACAAACTTGCTCACCAAAACTGAGGAGGACTTAAAGAGTTTGCAGCAGCAGGTCAAGGACTGCAGCCTTCAACATGGATTACACCTCAACATCAAGAAAACAAAAGATCCCCATCACCAGGTCAATAGGTAATACTATGATACATGGAGAAAAGATGGAGGTTGTTAACAACTTCAGCCTGCTAGGATCCACAATCAACACTCTTTGCACCAGCAGTCAGGAAATCAAAAGATGAGTTGCTTAGGACCCCTCCAGAGTATTAAAGAACAACAAATACCAGTGTAGAGACTAAGGTGATCCAGGCCATGATCTCAATTGTTTGTTATGTTATCTGAGAGCTAGACAATGACTACAGATAACAGAATAAATTCCCTCTCCCACAAAGAATTGGTGCTTTTGAATTGTGGTACTGGAAAAGAGTACAAACACACCATGGACTACCAAAAGAACAATCAGGTCTGTCCTGAAGAGTATAAAACCAAGTTGCTCCTTGGAGGCAAGGATTCTGAAACTCTGTCTCACATACTTTGGACATATGGCCAGGAAGAACCCAGCCTTAGAGAAAGGACATCAAGCTTGGATGGGTAGAGGGTAAGCACAAAAGTGGAAGACCCAGGATGAGATGAACTGACACAGTGACTATGATAATGACCTCAGGTGTACTGAAGATGGTTAGGCTGACTCCAGATAGAGCAAAGTTCTGAGTCATGGTGAACTCAACAGCACTTAAGACCACGACCACCAAAAAAATGATAAAACAAAATGATGTTGCATATTACAACATACATTAACTTCAAAAGCATCATGCTGAGTAAAATAAAGCAGACACAAAAAGACAAAAATAGTATGACCCTTTTTATGTGAAATACCTAGAATAGGGACAGAAGTGGTTAGAATTTACCAAGGGTTAGTAGAGGGGAAAATATAATAGTTACTGCTTAATGGACACAAAGACTCCAGGATAATAAAAACATTCAGAAAATTTTTACAAGTAATGACTATGGTTGTACAACACTGTGAATTTCATTAATGCCACTAATTAATTATGCTTTAAACTAATTACCTTTTATAATGGTCAGAATGATAAATTTCATTTTATCACCAAAAGTTTGGTAGTTTTAGAAGAGGTCATAGCACTATGAATTTCATTTAAAAAAAAAAAACAAACAAGCAAACCGCACTTTTACTAAAAATTTTAGAGGGAAAATACGGAAATAATAAACTTCGTTTAGCTTGGTCCAACAACAACAACAAAAATATAGGAGACTTAAGGGGTCCAACCATCACAACACTTAAATATACTGAACAGAAGATTCCAAAAGGCTGCTCGGAATGACAAAGCAAAATACTACAAAGAAATGTGCGAGGAGCTAGAGTCAGAAAATCAAAAGGGCCGAACTCGCTCAGCATTTCTTAAGCTCAAGGAACTGAAGAACAGATTCAAA